AGGGTCTGACCCTTTGGCCCAGGTCCACTGAGCCCCAAATTCCTTCAGACCCTCCCATCCCTCCGCCACAAAACTGCCAGGGCCACCCTGCCCTGGGCACTGCCTCCTGTCATCTCCTCCGCAGCTGGGACCCTGGGACAGGCTGCTCACATCCGGGGAGAGATTTGCTGGGTAAAAATCACCCCCTGGCTTGCTGCCTTGGCTGTACTGTCACGTGGGCAAAGAGAATTGGGGATCGGAAAGGTAAGGGAGCGGGATCCCGGCCAGGCTGGGGGATCAGTGCAGACGCTGGGCACAGGGCAGGATCCTGGCCAGGCCGGGGGATCAGCGCAGACGCTGGGCAGAGGGCGGGATCCTGGCCAGGCCGGGGGATCAGCGCAGACGCTGGGCAGAGGGCGGGATCCCTGCTGGGTTGGGATTTCACCATAGGCTGAAATCCCGGAGAGGACTCTAGCGATACCCTCATGGTGAGATCTTTGTGGCTGTGTCCTTCTGCTGTAATCAACTGTGCCACATAAGAGCAGCCTGGTTCCCCGCCGGATGCCGCGCCAGCACTCCTGTCCTTATTCCCCAGCCCTCAGCCAGATCCAGACGGGCTAATGCAGAGGAGGTGATTCAGTGCACCTCGCTCCCATGGGACTGTTCTCCCCTCACATCCCCCTGCTGAAGTCCCCCCTCCCTGCCAGCGTCTCTGTAGCACGAGTCTCTTTTTTGAACCCTATTGGCACCCCCCCATACAATCCAGAAGGGGACAGTGGGGGGTGGAGGGGTCGAGGCACCTCGCTCTCTCCCCTGCCAGGCACAGGGGGATGTGACCAATAGAGGCAGCTCAGCCTTCTCCTAACGCTGACTGCTTCTCGCTGGCTCCACCAGCATCACTTGTTCCCCTCCCTTCGGGGTGACGCGCTGCCCTGGCTCCAGGCGGCAGGAAGAGCCGGTTTGATGGTTCTGATCCTTGTCTACAGAGCCTACGGCGCACCTGACGCCAGGTTCTGCGGCCCTATCTCCCACTGGGAAGTCGTGACGCACGCACGGTCCTGACGGTGCAGCTGGGCTCCTTGCACCAAACAGCACGACTTGTTGCTGTGACTTCCAGGATCGGGCCCATAACCATCGTCCTGCCCAAAGAGGCATTGCAATGGGCCAGACGGCCCACACCGGACGCGTCCCGTCTGGGCTGAGGGAAAGGAAGCATGCACTGGTTGTAGCCGGGGTCCCAGATCAGGGACAGGCCCTGGACACCTCCCCGCCTGCCTTGTGACACGACCTGTCCCACAAGGCAAATGGCAAAAAGATCGGGGCGACCCTCCCCACTGGCCTGGGGAACAAGCAGTGGAGTCCAACACAGATGACTCTCCCCACTCTTCAAGCCAATATGGGGCAGGGCCTGCCCGCGATTACATATTTTTGTGTAGGTCCTAGAGAAGGGTTCCAGTGCAGGCTTTTTCTTTCCCTGAGGGCGATTCAATAGATTTGTTCAGCTGGGTAAGAATCACCCCTGTGGGAGAGGGAGCCGTGAAGACAGCCTGTTCCCCTTCGCAAAAACTACTTCCCACCCAGGCAGCGTCTGTGAGGAAAGCGATATTTAGGCCCACAGGCTGGGCGTCAAAAAGTTCGCTCTAAATCTCGTGCCTGTTGGGAAACGTCAGCCCCCTGCATCAACGCCTACAAGCATCAAAATAGACCTCTGTGGAGAGCAGCTGCGGCTCGGCGAGCCCCCTGCCCGAGGAGGAGTTACTGGCCGGCGTGGGTCAGTAGGGCCCAGGGTAGCAAGGCTGGCATTCAGGAAGAGAACTGGGGGTGGCAGAACACGGCTACAATGGAGGAGGAGAACGAGCTCTATTAATTCAGCCTCTATGTAAATTAGTAATGATAACAAATCGACTGGGGAAAAAAGCATCGTGAGTTTTCCCTGGCGGAGGGCTGAACGATCCAGCTCTCGCCGTTGCCTGGGGGAATCGCTGTTGTCTCGTCGGGATTGGGAAATCAAAGGTGACATGAAAGCCCTTGGCTCAGCTCCTCAGAGGGTGTAAATCTTCACAGCTCCATGAGGATATGGCCCCTTATTTCAACTGTCTGGAAAACCCCTTTCTGAGGGAACAGGCCACCTCCCTTCAGCTCCTCGGAGAGCAGCGGGGGTTAACTCTGACCCGAGTAATTGAGGCTTCCTGACCAAAGGGAACAGGGGTCACCCGTGGCCCAGAAATGACCCACTGGAGGTGTGAGGGACAGTCTGGATGTGGGAGGGCTCCTGTCCCCAGCTGGTGCTAGGACCTGTATGTAGGTGAAAGCAGGTGTGGGGGGTGCAGATAAAGCCGTGTGAGAGCAGAGAGGGAAAAGTGGACACAGAAAAACAGCTCCTCCCTGTGCACCTCAGCCCCCACTGTTGACTTTACTGGCCACGTTAACTCCCATTACACCTGCTATGGCCTGAGCCGGCTTCTCTCCTGGATTCACAGGGCAGCACGGCTCTGGCTGCAGAATCTCCCCACCTAATGCAGCGAGGGGCCAGCAGGAAGGGGCGGCCTGGATGTTAGAAGAGCAGCAAAAGTCTCCTTGGGAACTCAGCAAAAAGAACAGTAGTACTCGTGGCACCTTAGAGAGTAACACATTTATTTGGGCATAAGCTTTCGTGGGCTAAAACCCACTTCATCGGATGCATGCAGTGGAAAATACAGTAGGAAGATGTATATACAGAGGACATGAAAAAATGGGTGTTATATGGCAACACCCATTTTTTCATGTCCTCT